GTGTGTGTGTGTGTGTGTGTGTGTGTGTGTGTGTTTTAAAGATATACATATATACCTTTAGTTTCAAAGTCAACTTAAGAAACATCAATGTGGGCATGCCTGGGCGGCTCAGTCAGTTAAGTGACTTCAGCTCAGGTCACGATCTCACTGTTCCTGAGTTTAAGCCCCATGTCAGGCTCTGTGCTGACCACTCAGGGTCTGGCGCCTGATTCAGATTCTATGTCTGTCTCCCTCTCTCTCTCTGGCCCTTCCCTGCTCACTTGCTCGCTCTCTCTTTCTCTCTCTCTCAAAAATGAATAAACATTAAAAAAAAAATAAAAAAATTTAAAAAAGAAAGAAATATCAATGGATCAGTACCTAAGTCTTCGGTCCAGTTCCTTAGAAATAAAATGCCCTTCAGAGGCTTGTGGAAAGAGGACACTCAGGTGTAGGGACCCCTGAGCGTCAGTGAGCCCCGACCCGCGGTACCTGCCGCTTGATGGAGACCAACTCCATGTCTAGCTGCCTTAGCACCGTGGTGGCCGCAGTGGCGTTGGCAGAAACAGCCTCCACGTCTTCTTGAGAAAGAAACATTCCTTTCGGAGGTTTCCTTTTTGCTCGATTTTTAGCTTGCGTACTATGTTTTTCCTTTTTGATCTGAGGAACTGTCTCCGTAGGGGGCACCTGCATGGTACACAGATTTGAAAAATGAGACTCCAAAACATGAAAATGCCAGATGAACAGTAATACGCCTACTTTCCTAACGTGGCTCTAAACAATCTGACAAATACCATGCCGTATCGTAATTACCATCGACAAACTAACAGGCAGTTAACAGAAACACTGGCCATTGAATGTTGGCTGAACACTTCTAAGTAGAATCCACTGCCCTCCTATATAAACACAACTTTTTTCTATCACTCTGAGCCTCTGGCAAGAAGCGTTCTGAGCTTCCTGCAGTAATACAGGAAGAAAAGAGATCTGTCTTCTCTTCTGGTGTGCTTTGTGTATGTGAATGGTGAGCTCCTTTATCCTAACAGTTCTTGGCCAAACAGATGGACTTAGGGCCACAGAAAGATAAAAGGAAAAAATGATTCAGCACATACATAAAACCCATTTAAATTCTTTAACTCTATATGGAAGTTTATAAAAAATATAAACTTCCACATGTAACTATGACTGTTTTTCATATACCCTCCTTTTGGATGACACTTAACTTTTAGGGCAACTGTATAATTTGTTTCAAGAACATATGCTGTCATTTGATAATGCATGACTGCTGCTAATTTTTTTAAGTGCTTGCTCTAAAACTGAAACGTTTGGAAATGAAATGCAGTAAAATCTTGGCAAGGAAAGGATACTGTCCTGATATCAATTTTAAGAAGTTTTTGTAACAGTTCATAATCTCATCTTGTTAGTGTATTAACATTTGCTGATGAAGCCGAGAATATGTGCAGGTTTTCTGCTTCCTATCTTAAAACACTGACATAAATCGACCCTACAGACTACGACGGTACCAGTACATTCTTGAACAGGTGGTAACAGACAGTACATAAAAATGTTAGTAGGCAATAAACTACATCTCGTCTGTAACAGCTCTATGCTGTTTAGCAGAGATCACCTACTGACCACGTGCCTGTTTTCACAACATTTTAGTACAGAAAGAAACTTAAGATGTAAGTCATTTTTCTCTTTTAACCAGGAATCGTGCTACATTAAGACTTACGGAAGTTAAATCAAGCCTTTCCCCTTTCCTTTAAAATGTTCCCCTGAAGAAGCTAATAGATAATGATGTATCAAGACAAAGCTTCTTAACTGTAGGTACAATTTGATTTCCCAAAGAATCTAACTTAGCTAACCCTTAAAATGATCTTGTTATTTGGGCATTCGTATAAACCTAGCTGGAGTGCCATCCAGAAAGAATTATCAGTTTTCAGTTTGGTGACACATAGCCTACCAAATGAAGCCTTAAAAATGTAACTAGAAGACTTTGACCCAACAATTCAACTTCCAGAAATTTGTTCCAGTGGAAAAAATTAAGTGAACCAATATTTAATCATGAGACCAGCATTTCAGCATTGTTTATAACAACAAAAAGCACGGGGGGAAACTGATAAAAAAGCCCTAAGATTGCTTAACTGAATTATGAAAGATGTGTAGGATAAAATAACATGCTAATAACAGCTATGTACACAAAATGTATTTGACATAAAAACATGTTCAAGAAAGACCAAATTTAAAAGGTTTCAGAAATGATATATTGAGATCCCATTTTATGTTTTTAAAAAAGCAAGTATAGAGTCATAAGTGTGTATATAGGCATATACATTTCATGGAGTCATCTGGAAAGAGTCACCAAAATGTTAGCAGTGATTAAGGGTGACAATATCATCATTTTCTTTTTCTCCTTTTTGTTTAGCTGGATCTCCTACTTTGCCTACAAAAAGCATGTATGTTTGACGCGATTTTAAAGTTTAGGTGTGCCTGGACCCTTTTGTCTTTCCATGCCGAAGAACAGCTCTTCTCCTACTTCAGAACCTTCCAAGATCGAGAACTCTTTGAGGTTTTACTGAAGCTGCAGATACAGACTCTCTTCAGAAAAGCACTTCTACGAACTTATATATAAAAGTCATAACCACGCTGGGATCCAACACTCCAGCCTGACCTGGGGTTGATGGACTAAGGGGCCCTTCCTTCCAGGGACTGTAGTGCTATCCTCCCTGCAAGGGCTCTGCCGCAGGGAATGCTGTGTTGTGGGGGCTTTCCAGTCTGTGCCAAGGAGCCCCGGGTTTCCCTGGGGGGCCCTCAGGGATCCCACATAGGCCTTATTCAATTTTTATGAATGGGCAAAATAACCTAAGACTGCAACCCATTTCAAAAGGCTTAATAAGATCATTCAGACACCCCATCGTTCTCAGTGAAAAGTTCACAATAAAGAAATGTCATAAATGTACACAGAAAGAAAGTTATATACAACTGTAGGAATTCATGGGCCTCTCGAATCTTCTGACATAATGATTTTTAAGATGTGAAAGATTAAAAATTCCCCATGTGTGAGGCTCGCTGCTGTAGGACCTATGCTGCTGTTTCTGAGTAACGGGAAAACTTGCCCTGAGTCCCTGCTAGCCCTCTGCAGTGCACTCATGACCCAGCTCATGACCCCACTGTGCAGGCCCCTGCGCCGGCCATCGAGAGGACATCCCGAAGGCTGAGAGGAGGAACCAAGCCCTCACCTGGTCCTCACCAGTACCACGCCCACACTCGTTAACTACTGGGCTGATGGCTTGGGAAAGAAGGCAGTGAGGACGGCTGCCCAATGAGGACAAACTCGTTACTCAGTAATGCTATCGCTTGCTTTCGGGCTTCCTTTATTCCTGTTTCTTGGCAAACAAAATTCTAAAGTCTATACAGCAAAGTTAGTATTGTTTAAAAAGTCATTATCATGACGCCTTGTACATAGCAATAAATATATTAAATAGAATAAGTAAGAGGAATGTTTTACGTATGGTACTAATAAAATTTATTTGCCTAAACAATACTAGGGAAAAAAATACCTCCTTTTTGCTTTCCTTGTTTTGATCAATCTCAATGTCAATGGGGTTATTTCCATTTGTTTCTTCCAGTTCATCCTCACTGGAAGGCAAGAACAAGTTACTGAAAGACTATTTGGTACTAATTCTATTTAATATACAAATATAAGCAATAAATTGATTTAATGACAGATTTAATACAAAATCAGTATGTTTTCAGATTGCCGAGATAAACATTTTTACAATTCAAATAAATTAAAACCAACTCCTAGTTCTCTTACTCTAAATGATTAAAACAACAACAACAACAACAACCTACTGAAATAGATTTTTAACTTCTGGATCAGGTCTAGAACATTGTTGCTTCATATCTGTAAAATGTTTCTTCCCAACTCTCAACTGAAAAGATCAAATTTAAGGCATTTATGTAATTGCCCCGTAATCATCTTGTGGTGGGCTAGGACACAATCATTACATGTAACTGAGAAATTACTCAAAAATAAAGTCCCCATGCGCTGGGAACAAATCCCCAAAAAGTGAAACTCCACTTCAAGTCCCAAGTACACACTCATGACTCAATCCAAGCGCCAGAAGGGGGAGAGCCTTTTGGCTCTGGATAAACTGAGATTTTAAATTAGGTTAATTTTAAAAAGAACATTCACATTGACGTGGTACTTCAAATGCCTTTCTTTATAGCCTTCCACGTGTTATTATTTTTTTAAAAGAGCTCCATAGTAGAGCCTTTACTTTGAAAAGTAAGAAAACTGAGGATCACAGAAGCCGAGCACAGCTTGCCCCAGTTTCCCCCCAGTTACATCCAGTTCATCGTCCCACCGTCTCAGGATCCGGCCCAGATGGCCGTGCTACCTTCCTGTGCTGAGTTCTGGCCCAGGAGAGAGAGTTCAAAGGGAGAGTGAGCCAGGGCGGAGGGACCTCTCTCGTCCCTGCTGTCACTTCCACCAATCCCTCGGGTGCTAGCGCCCCCGGTCTGCACAGGTGCTCAAGGGCTCAGGCTCCCCACCGGGGGCTGGGGGAGGGTGTGGGGGGGGTGGGGGGTGGGGGTGGGGGCGGTGCGGGGGACAGGTGCTCTCAGGGTTGGTGCACAGAGAAGCACCGGGGAGCGGAGCCTGTGGTGAGGGTGGGGCGGCAGATGCTCTTACCGTTTCATACTCGGGGGACAACAAACCCCAACCTATTCTTTTATTTAACTCTAATTTCAGGGTTAGCAGAGTACAGCTGTCTGTAGTACAAGACTTTGTTTATAAAAAGTAAATGAGTCCTAACGTATAATGGAAATAAATATTTTTAATCAAAAGTTATTGGAACATAAAAACAAATGCATTAGCATTTGCCACTTTTCTTTGATTACTGAGAGCACTAAACCAAAAACAGACCCACTAGTATATATGCTGCAGACCACACAGCATCCAGACGTATCAAGGTCAACACTTTTACAGACTCTTACAGCTGGAGAGTGCTCGGCAGACGTTCCCACCATTGCCCCACTTTACAGCTGGGCCCACGGATGTGAATTCTCCAGAAGTCATACTACCACTTTGTTCCCACGATATCCTATTTAAAATCATAAAATACCCTCCTGAGATGGGGCCATGGAGATCAGATAGTCTCTCTCCCTTCACTTCATTTGTATTATTAGTTAAAAAAAATAACATTTTGGGGGCGCCTGGGTGGCTCAGTCGGTTGAGTGTCCGACTTTGGCTCAGATCATGATCTCGCGGTCTGTGAGCTCGAGCCCCACGTCGGGCTCTGTGCTGACGGCTCAGAGCCTGGAACCTGCTTCGGATTCTGTGTCTCCCTCTCTCTCTGCCCCTCCCCCGCTCACGACCTGTCTCTGTCTCTGTCTCTCTCAAAAATAAATAAACATTAAAAAAAATTTAAAAATAACATTACAGGAGCATCTGGGTGGCTCAGTCATTTGAGCGTCAGACTTTGGCTCAGGTCATGGTCTCGCAGTTTGTGAGTCTGAGCCCCACGTCGGGCTCTCTGCTGTCAGCGCAGAGCCTGCTTCAGATCCTCTGTCCCCAACTCTCCCTGTCCCTCCCCCACTTGTTCTCTCGCTCTCTCAATAAATAAATAAATTTAAAAAATTAAAAAACAGCATTACAGAAAACGTGGAAAACAAATTTCAAAAAGCCACCAACCTAACACAAAAACCACTATGTCCACTTGCTGCCTTCTAGACTGTGAGCAGCTTCATTTTAGAGTTGAGGAGGCGGAGGCTCGGGGAAGAGGCGTGCGGCACTGACCCCGCACGTGAGTTCACACCACCTCTGGAGTGAGACTCCAACCTGCCTCTGCGCGTGAGCACAGGGCCGCCCCCTGCTCTGCGCCATCTGGCGGAAGTGTTGGCTCGGATGTATCCTACTCACCAAGCTATCCCTATAGCTGGTTTCCTTAGGAAGAAGAATCACAGAATGTTTCCCTCCCTCTCACACACAAAATAGATGGTCAAGAAAGGGATTAGGGAAATCTAAACTGTACTGTCATCTTTTAACACACCAGACATAAAAACGTGGCAAACAAATCTTGTGTAAGTATACCCAAAAAAATTCTACCTAGGCAATAATAGATTTCCTTCTTATTAAAAGGAGACACCCTTCAGCGGTATGAAAGAGTACGTGGAAAAGTTCACTCATTTAAACTGGAAGTTTCTTGGGGCGCCTGGGTGGCTCAGTCGGTTAAGCGGCCGACTTCGGCTCAGGTCATGATCTCACAGTTCGCGGGTTCGAGCCCCGCGTCGGGCTCTGTGCTGACAGCTCGCAGCCTAGAGCCTGCTTCGGATTCTGTGTCTCCCTCTCTCTCTGACCCTCCCCCCGTTCACGCTCTGTCTCTGTCTCTCGGAAATAAATGTCTAAAAAAAAATTGAAAAATAAAGAAATAGGCGGAAGTTTACTGAATGCAGGAAGAAGAGAGTGGTAAGAAACGAATACCCAAAGAACGGTGGGCTCAGGCGTTAATGATACAGCTCACGAACGTTACTGAAGAATATTTGTGTACATCTGGCTCCACCAGGAAGGCATTTGGGGAACTCCCTTTCCTTTGGGCACCGACCGCCTCTTAGAAATTCTAGTGACGCGAGAGATCCCCCACGCGGGGAGACACCACCTCCAGGCAGGAACTGACCTCTCCTCCCGCTCCCGCTTCTGTTTCCGAGCGTGGCGGTCCATCACACTGGTTTTAGTCCTCGTCTTCTTCCAGGAGTAGTAAAATTTCACCAGACTTGCTATAGATTTATCAGGAAGCTAAACATAAAAACTGAGTTGGTTTCGATTTAGAGCTGATCGTTACAAATCAAGTGTGCTTAGATACGGTTAATAAGGACGGTCACACACACAGAAATGTTTTAAGGCACAACCCTTTTCTCTGAGAAGAAGATTCAAGAAGAACTCTCATCGGTACGTTTCCAAACTACTGCAGTGTGACTGTAAGTGAAACTCAGCCCAGGAAGGATCGCCAAAGGCAGGCTGAGACGAACCCAAGCTTTCATACACCTAAAGTGTCTAGCCTAACTCCTAGGTTATTTTTTAAAAATTCACTTCAGCACTCGTGCAACCATCCATAAAAGCTTTCCTGGTAGGAGTCCACCAAAGAGCCTTCTAGAATATAAGAGATAAGCCAACCTTCCCCAGGCAGACAGGGCTCCACGAGGCGCCACACCTCATCAAACAACCATCAAAGACGCTTTCTATCGGATTAATGTGGGGAGTCCCAACAAGAGAGATGGGGACAGGGTGGCGGGGGGCTCGTGTTACAGCTGCTCTCAAGCTGGGAAGTGCCAGGAGATGCTTTGCTCCTGTAACTTGAAGCCTCTCATCTACTCCATGGCAAGCATGAGCTACTCTGTCCAACACGGGAATATCTCGGCTTGAGGATGACATCCCTATCTTTCAGGTATGCTGCAGGGGAGAGAGGCTGGGAAAAAAAGAAAAATCAGTGGTTTCATCTACTTACCATTTGTTGGATTCTATGAAAAGTTTTCCCATGAAAACTAAAGGCTTGCTCAAACAAGACTTTATCTTCCACAGTCCACTCATCTGGGAAGGGGGTAAAGTTGGGCAAATCAGCCAATGACTTTTCAATATTATGCTTATGCCAAAAGAGCATCCCAAGAGCCTAGAAAAATAGTATCAGTGAAATTTTAGACCAAAGACGTGAGTGAAACATTAAAATGGAAATGAGGTTGGCAAAAGAAGAGCACGCACGCCCTGCAGCCCGGGAAACACCGCTACGCGGCTGATGCGTGCGCACTCCCGCGAGACACGCTCCACTGTGCTCACTTCTCAGATGAGAACACGGTGGCCCTGAGAATCAAGTCCTTGCCAACGGCCCAGGGCTGGTAGGTGGCAGAAGCAGTGTGGCCCTAGAATTTGTGCTCTTTATTTATTTATTTTTGAGAGCGAGCATGCGTACAAGTGGGGAAGGGGCAGAAAGAGAGAGAGAATTCCAAGTGGGCCCCGCATCGTCGGCACAGAGCCCGATGTGGGGCTCGAACCCACGAACCACGAGATCATGACCTGAGCCAACACCAAGAGTCGGCTGCTTAACCGACTGAGCCACCCAGGTGCCTTTGGAATCTGTGCTCTTAAAAGCCACACTTGAATGCCTCTGTATACGAAAGGACAAAGTAATTTATAGATGCACTTAATTGTTTTGTTACTCTTTTCCTGAAAAAACTCAAATATAAAGAGGTTTTCTTTGTTGTTTTTTTTGTTTTGTTTTGTTTTTTGGTAACCCAGAAGGGAGAAAATATTCAAATGGGTGACAAATTGGAAATGAGAGATAATTCAGCAATTTTTTTCCTGGTAACTCCCAAGTGAGACCAATCAGAATTTCGAAGACCAGAATCCTTAAAAATTCATCTAGGTATATTTAGCAATCACCTAATGACTTTTACACTTTCTAAATAGAATTAAAAACTGGTGATGTCAGACTGGCTCAGTTGGTGGGGTATGCGACTCTTGGATCTCGAGGTCGTGAGTTCGAGCCCCATGATGAATGTAGACATTACTTAAAATCTTCAGGGGCTCCTCGGTGGCTCAATCGGTTAGGCATCTGACTCTGATTTCTGCACTGATGGTGCACAGCCTGCTTGGGATTTTCTCTCATTCTCTCTCTGCCCCTCCCCTGCTTGTGCTCGTGCTCTCTCTCAAAATAAACAAACTTTAAAAATAAGTAAATAATAATAAAATCTTAAAAAGTTGGTGATGTTCTGAGCAACTTCGTGAAATTCACGAGTAGGGTTTAGAAAAAGAAAAGGGAGGGGCGCCTGGGTGGTGCAGTCGGTTAAGCGTCCGACTTCAGCCAGGTCACGATCTCACGGTCCGTGAGTTCGAGCCCCGCGTCGGGCTCTGGGCTGATGGCTCAGAGCCTGGAGCCTGTTTCCGATTCTGTGTCTCCCTCTCTCTCTGCCCCTCGCCCGTTCATGCTCTGTCTCTCTCTGTCCCAAAAATAAATAAACGTTGGGAAAAAAAAAAAAAAGAAAAAGAAAAGGGATATACCTCTTGCTTTTAAAGATTCTGGTACTATCCTACTATAACCAGCTTTTCTTTCTAACATTCTACCAAGCTGAAATAATTAAAAGTATGGCCAAGGCTACAACAAAGAGTTTAAGTCTATATAACGTAACTCAGTGGTGACCTCAATCATGAGGATAAAAGCTTGCAACTTACAGGCTGTAAAATCTAGATCAATGCCAAGGAAAGCACTAATCCAAATTAATATGCTGATTTTTAAAATAGGAGTTAGAGGGGCGCCTGGGTGGCTCAGTCGGTTGAGCGTCCGACTTCGGCTCAGGTCACGATCTCACGGTCCGTGAGTTCGAGCCCCGCGTCGGGCTCTG